ATTTGTGCCATAAGGCTCATTATCATCTGTTGCGGTTGGACCCATCTGCCAAATTTTGATGGTCCCATCCTCGGATCCAGAGGCATATGACTCACCACCTGGGGAGAAGCGCACACAGTGAACCGGTCCATGGTGAAATAATCTTTGCAAATGTTGGGGATAAGGGGTTAAGACATGGAATTGCCGTTAAAAGCCATAATGCCCAGTTCAGATTGAAACTAGGCTCTGATACCACAAATGTTGGGGATGGAGGAGTAAGGAAAAAACATAATACTACGATGCAAGTAAAAAGAAGCCTTTCGACTCAAAAAAACTGATGTAGTATTAAAAAACAGGAGGATTGATAAGAACACTTACAAGATACCAAATGCACACAGACTCACTCTTTCTTACTTTATGAACTACGGTCCTATTTATAGGACCTAGTGACAACCACCCTATAACTACTAGATTGAGGTAGTTATTGAAACCACCCTATAACTACTAGATCATGATTGAGGTGGTTATTGAAATCATCCTGTAACCACTAAATCATGATAACTATCTAGATAGATAACTATAAATTAAATCTCAACAACTTGTCCTTGGGTGTCTCTCGTGCGAAGGGTTGGTCATTCCTCTGAATGTCAATCTTCGATGCCCGCTCCTCCAAATGACTCATTTCTCTACACCTCAACGCCTGTTTCCTTAAAACGGGCACGTGTACTGGCTGCCCTCTGTTGAGAAATCTAGGGGCGACATCACATGCGCAACAAAAGAACAGAAAACCAAAACCCTAAATTTCCCAAAGAGGTGTTCGTCGTCGTGCGAAGATTGGTGCGCAAAAACCCACAAAACTTAAATCCACATGTAAGATAGTGTTTTACCTAAGGAGATAGTATATCCCTGAATTCCTACAGATCTGTGAGATTAGATTAAAGAGTTCAAGTGCCCTCCTCTCTAACGGTGATCTACACAGCAAGGCTATGACGACACTTCTCAAATCGTTGCCCAAATCTCCACACCTGCTATCTAAGGAGGAGAAGGGGAGAGGAGAATAGGAGATGACAACTAGGAAGCCCTAGCCTATGAGCGTTTAGTTCCCTCCTATTTATAAAGGCCCCCAATTAACTTAACCCTAATGGATCCTGTCCTATTGGGTATTGGATCTCCATCCAATTACCCAAGCCTCTAAGATTAGTGGGCCTCTACCCAATAATCTCTTATTAGCTCTTATTGGATCTTATTCATGAGATTCAATAATTTATGGGCTTATTGGATATCCAATAAGGCAAGGGCTTCAATGGATATCTCATATTCGAGCATCTACTCGTCGCAACGCCTACCATATGTGTGTGACTCTTCGGGCCCAATATCGAGTTGTCTGTGAGTCATACCTGATAGAACTTCTTCTGGCTCAGTGAATTATTATCTTCATAATAATTCACTCGACTCATCGACTGCGGATGTACTAGGCCACTACATCGTAGTCCCAAGACGATACATGAGAATCCAATCCTTTGGACCTATCTGTCCTCAGTTACCGTGTACCTATAGTCCCTCATCCATATAATATCCCAGAGATCGTATACCGGGCATAGTGCTATCAGGTCTATACGGTTTCTCCTCGAGTCTCACTCTAACCGGATTCTCCCGAAGAACTCTTTCTTTCTCAATCCGAATAACCTTGGCTAAGGATTTGTCTGAGCAAGAACACACAGGATATTCTTCTCATGATACCGAGAGCGGATGATACTTTATTGACATTCAATAGCCCTCGTAAGGTTGGCTGTCACTCCCAATGACCGACTGTACTATAAGTCCAGAATCAAAAAGTGGAGTACTCATACATGACATCCTTAGTGTCTTAAGTCTGAGGACCAGGTACACTACTAGGACGACGGAATCGCTGTCTAACAATGAGGTATCATCAACCATCTAGCAATCCATAAGCGGATCCCTAGTGTCCCCACATAAACAACTATGAGACCAGTCACCTCCATCATATGGACGAGTATACAGTACACCAATCTGTCTGGTTATCTCGATGTCCCTCTCGAGTAACCTATGACCAGGATTAGTTAGGGTCTGTGTTTAAAGGTGAATCGATCTCATTATCATGATCTCATCACGATCCGATTCTCATTACACAGATCTATGGACATTACAATATATATATGCAACAAGCAATATAAAGTGAGAGAATGTCATAATAATAATAAGCAAAAAGACTGTGTGTCAAGTCACACGTGTCATCACTCGTGTGATTAGCTTGCAGGACACCTATGACTAACAATCTCCCACTTGACCTAAAGTCAATCACCTTTGTGTCTAATACGTATCGAACCTCTATGACGCTCAAAGACAATTTGAGACAACGGTTTTGTCAGTAGATCTGCGATGTTATCTTCGGATAGAACTCTTTCCACTACTACATCTCTTCGGACCATGATCTCTCTAATAAGCCGGAACCTCTTTAGAACACTTCTAATAAGACCCGATTCCCTCATTTGAGCAATCGCCCCGTAGTTATCGCAATATAAGGGAATCGGCTCCTCGCTACTTGGAACGACTCCTAGATTTGTGATGAACTTCTTCATCCAAACTCTCTCCTTTGCTGCCTCTATCGCAGCAATGTACTCCGCCTCTATGGTCGAGTCAACAATAGTGTCTTGCTTGGAACTCTTCCAGCATACTGCTCCTCTATTCAGGATGAACACATACTTTGAATTAGACTTACTATCATCGACATCGAACTGGAAGCTCGAGTCCATGTAGCCCTCAACCTTAAGGCTACTTCCTCTATATACCAGTAAAAGATCCTTAGTCCTTTTCAAGTACTTAAGGATATACTTTACTACTTTTTAGTGCTCTAAGCTTTGATCTGCCTGATACCTGCTCTTGATACTTAGAGCATGCGCTATCTCAGGCCTAGTACATAACATAACATATATGATAGACCCTATTGCCGATGCATAAGGTATTCTATCCATGTTTGCCCTTTCTTCATGAGTCTTTAAGACATATTCCTAGAAAATGATATACCATGTCTTATTGGTATGAGACATCTCTTGGAATTTTCCATACCAAACCTTTTGACAATGGTGTCTATGTACCTATTAGGACAAGCCAAGAATCCTATTGGATCTATCTTTATAGATCTAAATCCCTAATATGTAGGATGCTTCCCCTAAGCCCTTCATGGAGAAGTATCTAGATAGTCAAGCCTTTACTGTGGAGAGCATTCCTATATCATTCCCAATAATCAGGATGTCATTCACATATAGCACCAAAAAGGTGATAGCGCTCCCACTTATTTTCTTGTACACACAAGGCTCATCTTTGTTCTTAACGACGTTATAAGATATGATCGCCTCATCAAATCTTATTGTCCAACTTCGGGAAGCTTGCTTCAGTCCATAAATAGACCTAAGCAACCTACACACTTTATCTGGACTATCATTGGACACGAATCCTTCAGGTTGTATCATATACACCTCCTCAAGATTGCCATTGAGGAACGCAATTTTCACGTTCATCTGTCAAATCTCATAATCATAGTGTGCTACAATAGCCAATAGAATTCAGATAAATTTTAGCATGGCTACAGGTGAGAAGGTTTTGTCATAGTCAACACCTTGCCTTTGATGATACCCCTTAGCCACTAGCCTTGCTTTACAGGTCTCTACCTTTCCATCTACTCCGATCTTCTTCTTGAAGATCCACTTGCAACCAATGGGTACAATACCCTCGGGAGTATCAACTAAGTTCCAAACCTTGTTAGAATACATGGAATCTATCTCAGAATTCATGGCCTCTTGCTACTTCCTAGAGTCTATACTCGTAATAGCCTCCAAGTAGGTCTGAGGATCAATATCCTCAACATCCTCTCATTTGATATGTCCCACATATTTCTCAGAAGGATGTGATACCCTATCGAACCTACGTAAAGTCGGAACTTGTGTTCTGTATAATCGGACATAGGTTACTCGAGAAAAAAAATGTGTTCTCGAGAGGTTACTACGTAAAGGTGAAACTTGTGTTCTTTAACGATGTCCCTCTCGAGAAAGTCCACAGAATAAAATAGTGTTCTCTGGAAAATTTAAAGAAAAAATTAGCACCAAAATCATGAAAAATAAATAGTGCATCCACCGTAAAATAGAAAAAGAAAAACTTATATAACTGTATCACCAAGTAATTCAAATGTATCACTTATTCTATCACGTAGAATGTTTTGAGTCACATGCGCTGAGAAGATGTTCAGGTCACGAAGTTATCACAAGTAGTTCAGTAAAAGCAGTAGCCAAAGGAAGACGTACAAACATAGTAGTTTGGAATCCAGAAAGGTGGACATTGCGCTTTTTGCATATTGAAAATGAGCGACTGAATTTCATATTGGACAATTACCATTATATCCTTCTATAGCTATCGATACAGCAAGCGTTGCAGACAGGGACAGACAAGGTTACTTAGGCAAATACAGCTCAGGTTGGTAATGGAGAGTTTTCTTGAACACAAGGCAATATGGGGAGGGAATTGTGGCAGGGTTTGTTGGTGTAGAAGACATCCATTCAGAAACAAGGCTATGGAAAAAGAAAACATATTCACTTTAGACAATTTAATGTAGTTGATAGAATCTAAGAAGTGTGAGCAGATATGGAGGAAAGAAAAGGTTTGACTTCAAACGACTCAATTTAGATGATGCAACCTCAGAAATGCAAAGGAAATTATGTGTTACAAAGATTGTGTAGAGTGCACAATAGAAGTAATTCGAAATGAAGACCAGAAACATTGGTATGGAAATGTTTTCAGTTAAACAAGTAATAAGAATGGCCAGGCAAAGAGAAAACAACAGCCAACAGCTTAGTAGTTCTAAACTTGTAATAAAATCTTTGAGAACACTAATAGCAACAACATAATATATAAACAGCCTTAAAGGTCACAAGTAGACAAGTGTCAAGTAGAATACACAAAACCAGCTAGGCTAGAAGAAGGAAAAGTTCTCATATATTAAAGTTAACCTGAAAGAGGTACTCGGCATAGTCCGAGAGGTTGCAGACTAGTATCCCTTTAGATTCCATCTCTCTATTCCATTTTGCATGGTAGTTGAGTCGCCGAAAATATAATTCATGAAGAACATTATGCTCTCTAACAATAAATATATAGACTTTCTTTAGAACCAAGAAAGAGTACTACGCTTTAATATGTAAGAAGAATTCACTACAAGTTTTCACATAAAGTAAGAAACAAAGGCAAATGTAAGACTAACCATATAGCATGCTCATAATAAAGTTTTTTTTATACTACGTGAAATAAAAATAGTTGAAGTTTAGAGACAATTGGTTGGACTTGTTGGAGTTGCTTGTCCGTTAAAAGAGTTGGTTATTGAGGTATTTCAACTCTAACAAAGAGAAAAAACACACAACACAGGATATTATTTGGAGGAAGGAAAGAAGAAAAGAAGGGGGAAAAAGTATCCTAATTTAATTGAAAAGGAATGTGCTTTCTCATGCAGAGCAGAGATACAAGAAATGAATAGAAGCAGGGATGCTCAATTGATCAGAAAGTTGTGCAACCCAAGAATTGAACCATGACGTACCGTTCGAAGTTAACCACCTTCCTGAAGTAGTTCTCAGCAAAGGCAAACTTGCGTTTCCAAAGTAATGTAGGTGGACACCACAATTTCGCGTAGCAGCATCCGTGGAGGAAAATAATTCCCAACACGCTTAGCCTACGAAGTTTCTCATCAAATTGCAGATTTCGTTCATTTTGTATTGTATGAATCAGACAAATAGAGGTCAAGGGAGGAGTCCGAATTGTATTACCCTTCTCCGGGCGCAAGCAAGCAATCGAAAGAAGTCTAGGACTTACCTAGAAAGCATCGAACAGAACCCACCTTAAGATTTAACAGTATGTCGCAAGGTACTGATTCCAATCCCGGCTTCATCGCTTACTCTTTTGAAAATAAAATAAAATGGATCAGAACTCATGAAGTGCCAATACTTGTCTTGCGCTGCAAGACGGGGGTGGGGTGGAATCGAAGAAGGAGATGGGCACCGTCCAGGGGAGGGGGAGCGGGAGCAGCGCGGGGGCTGACGAGAGCGGATCGCAGCGACCACGACGTTCATCTTGATGCCGGCTCGCTTCGGCTGTGGCTCCGGTTCTTGGTTCGGGAGGTTAGTGTTTGGGCCGGGCCAGATGGAGGTCAATCCGTCTCATTTAGAAACTGGGTTCTGAGCCCGAACCGGATCTGTATTTTCAGCCGTTGATCACCTTGATGATCGATACATGCAGTCGGTGAAGTGCACATTTTTAATCCGCGTATAATGAAATGACCAACTCGAAGAGCAAGAGATATGTGTAGCGCTCATATATTTGGAATGAGATATGTAGATCAGAGCTTATTGGCCATCTCTACTCATCGAGCGGCCACCTGCCCACGTTTTGAAGTAGTCGTAATGATCTTGCTCGCTTGCATGCGTTGGAATGTTCAACACAAAGTTTCTACATCCAAAACAGCAAATATACGTACGTCACATTGTTTTGCATCAGGAACTCAAATCTCAAGATGGGAGAAAATTGAGTGTCGATGGTGACATAAAGTTGCTCTTCTACCATCTGAGATCCGAGTGATTCAAGTTCCAATTACAAAGATCGATCTCTATCGGCAAGCATTAAATGGTGTGCATTGGTCCATCCAAAGTCCGTCCTACATTATTGATGAGACAGCCCCCGCGTATTGGACCACCATTGAAGTTGACGTAACAATGAACTGTCACCAAAAAATTAGGCACAAAAAGTTAATTACCTTGTGATTGAATTGAATAATATGTAATTTCAATCATAATTACTGTGACTAAAGGATTTGTCTTCCATCACAAAAAGTAAAATACTTTTCAACAAGCTTTGCTAGTAGGTTTCAGTCTAAACGAACATTCAAAAGGCTTCCATCACCCTTTGCCTGCAGATGCTGAACCCATCCACAATATTTCGAGATCGAGGAGGATTATGTTTTCTCCACTGATGAAGAGAGCAGTCAAACAGTCGGTGCATGTACCTGTCTCTTTCTCTTCGCTTTTAAGGTACAGATTTGGAACTCGACATCGAAAGATTCGTCGAGGCATTGGATTCCGGAACGCATCATTATCAAAGTCACAAAAAAGCTCTACTTTAATATTGGATTCATGATTCATCTGTTAATTATTTTCAGAAATTTGGAACATGAAACTTACATACATTCACGTGCATGGCTTAGCAGTAAGATAGGACACACATTGTCTGCTAAAGTTTACTCATGGGGCCGACCTTTCTGCTCTACCTTTTCATGGAGCCTTGTTTCCATCCAACCCTTCCGGTACACCATGCTTAATTGCCACCAACAAGAAGAATAGTCATGCTGATGACACCACGAAGGAAGAATCTACATCATTTGAAGTGGCAGTAAGCGGCTGGAAGAAGAAAAGCTGGGAAGAAAAGAGGATTACGCAAAAGGAAGAAAAAGATGAGACTTGACAAGGCTTTTGTGGCAGCCGGAAGAAAAGATGGAGAAGAAAATGGATCACGCAAAAGTAAGGGAATGTTGAGACCTGCATCATGATGGAAGATGACGATGCTTTCCATTGTTAGATCATCATCTTTCTGAAGAGACAACTTTTCTTTCCCTTGATTTAGTGCCCAATCCACCTACTCAATTCTGGTTCATATCAAATGTGCTCTTTTATTTATTTATTTATTTTATTTATTTATTTATTTTATTATTATTATTATTATTATTATTACATTTAATAATCATAAATTAATTAATAATAATAATTTCATTAATAAAATATGCATGATTTCAACCCTTTGACCCATAATATGCAACTCTTCTCTCTTCCTCTATTGTGACTCATTAATCATAATATGCATGATGCTCTCACGAGGGAAGATCATACATCTATTTATATTCCAGACTCATGGCACTTAACTAAATTAGGACTTATCATAATCCTCTCTATTCTTGTTTGATTAAACTATAAGCTTAGCATCTCCTAAATCAATTAAATAATTATCTTAATATTTCTAAATTAATTAAACTTTTATTAGCATTATTTTAACACTTCTCCATAATATAAATATCCAAGTTATTCCCTTCAAAATTAAAAAAAAAAATCTAATGCCAAAGATTTAATGAAATTATTACTAAGGTGTTCTCTTTTGTTATAGCAATTGAACCTATCATGCTTTCAACAACTATGATAGATTGGGCTCTTAGGGGTAATAACTATAGTCTTGCCAAAAGAATTTTTTTTGTTTGAGACTGTTGCTCGAGTGTTGATGGGATCTATCAATACCTCTTATCGGATAATAAAAATTCATCATCCTTAATTTCTTTGAATTAGTTGTATGTTTTGATTCTTTCTCAAATTTAATGGGTTCTTTAATTTCATCAAACTTATATCTTTCAAAAGTTTCGACTAAAGATTATAATTTTCTCAGTGGAGTTTCTTATGAAGAACTAGGGCAGAGTCTAAGATGACGATTAACTACTGTTATGATCGGAGCGGCACTAAGAGAGGGAGGGGGATGAATTAGTGCAGTGGTAAAGTACGATAAACTTTTGACGATTTAAACACTTTCGGAAACTTCATACGATAAAAGCAACGTTTTGTTTGAAACCGTTTCGATTGCGTTTTAACTTGAAGGCATACGTAAGAAGGAGACAAAGAAGTAGAGCATCAAAGTGAAGATGGTTTGCAGTAATATAAATGACAATAAGATAAACGCAAACCGATTTATAGTGGTTCGGTCATGCGACCTACATCCACTTGCAAAGCCTTCTTCGATGAGGCTCCCAACTTCTACTAGCAAAATCATTTTGAAGGGAAAGGACAAATACTCCTCTTACAACCTTTTACAAGTGGTTCACTCTCTTACAAATTTTCAAAGAGAAAGAGGGAGGTGAACACTCAAGCTATTGAAAACAAAAACTTGCTAAAGACTTTGCTACGACTTTTATCTCAATCTCTTGCTTCTTAAAGGTTGTTTTCTCTGCTGAGAATTGAGGGGTATTTATAGGCCCCAAGAGGATTCAAATTTGGGCTCCAAATTTTGAATTCTCTTGGGTTCCCGAGGGTGGCGGTGCCACCGCCCGACCTCTCGGGTTCTGGGCGGTGCCGCCGCTCAGTTCTCGGGTTCTAGGCGGTGCCACCGCCTACACTATTTCAGCTCACTGGTTAGGCTCCAAACTTGGCCCAAACTAGTCTGAACTCGGGCCCAATTGGCCCTTACTTGGGTTATAAGATTAACACATAATCCTAACCCTAATTAACATGCTAACTACAAATTTAAAGGCAACTAAGCTATACAAAGTCTGCAAGTCAAGACTTTTTCCGGCGAACTTCCGGCGGTCTTCCGATGAACTCTCGGAAACCATTCTGCAGACTCCCGGCAAGCTCCTAGACTTCACGATTTGATCTTGACGAGTTCCAATGAGCTTCTTCGGCAAGCTCCGATCTTTCTCGACGAGCTCTGTGAACTTCCAATGAACCTTATGGCGAGCTTTCGAAAAACCCTTCGGCAAGCTCCCTACTCATTCTCGGCTAGTTCCGGCAGCATTCCCGACGAACCTTCGAACTTCCGTTGAACTCTCGAACTCGCAACAAATCCTTCGCGCTTGACTCCGACACTTTGTTTTACTTTATGTCTTCATCGTTATCGTAGTTAATCCTGCACACACAAGCCCAAACTCTACTCCGATCTAGACAATTATTACAACGTGAATTGACATTCTGTTGCCCGGCACGTCATTGGTTGGCGCTTCGTCCGATTCTTCAGCGCATTGTCCCAATCGGCGATTGACCTCCGCAACCCCGATATCCTTGGCGCAATTCCGCTCTTGGCCTGATGCCCAACGTCCGAAGCCTTCTGCCATCCAATACCCTAACGTGATCTCCTCCGGCGCAACGTCAATTCCTCCTACGTTAACTGTCTAATCCTGATCGAGTAGACCTGCATCACTCAAAATGCAATTAAACATCTAAACACAATCAATTAGTTTCATCATCAAAATTCGAGATTCAACAACTACAACTCAAGAATTTTCTTTAGAACTATTAATGTTCGACGTTGAAGTAGAGCACGTATTCTCTAGTTTCAACTAACCCAACATTATCATTCAATGTCAATTGAACGTTGATTTAAAAGGATTCAAACATTGGTTAATAACTATTATCATGCAGCTCACCACCATCTTCGTCAAAATAACTAAGAATAATATCAACTTCTCGACTAAATTTAAAAGGTTAAAAATCTAATGAAAATAATTGAAGATAAGAATAATTATTGAAGAAGCTTTATTGAAGAAGATAAGAAGCTTTATTAAAGAAATGAAAATGCTTCAATGTATTAACATGTTCCATCTCCTATTTATACAAATTAGGAGAAAGGATTTCCTCAATAGAATAGAGGATTTGATGCTATCAGGATACCAATCTTGGATTGATGCAAAGAATGATTTACAAGCGAGAGACTTCGTGAGTAGGGCAAGAGCAAATCACTACTACTGTTGCGATTGCTGCTGTTGTGAGGGCACAGGTGTTCCCATTCGTTCTCCTTAAGTCCGTCCTTCGTTCTCCTTAAGTCGACCGACTGTTGGCAGATCAGTGAAGGCAGCGAAGGCTACCGTGGTGAAAAAGATGAGGATTGGCCGTTGAGCCTCTTAGGAATGTGGCTACAGCGACGTTAGTCACTAGCCGAAGACAAGGGCGAAACTTCACTTTTCTCAATGACATTGGTCGCTGGCCAAAGGCAAGAGCAAAACATTTCCCCTATATAAGGAAATCTCTCTATTCTGTTGAGGAAAATCCTCTATTCTATTGAGGGAAATCCTTTCTCCTAATCTGTATAAATAAGAGAGGGAACATGTTAATGTATTAAAGCATTTTTCATTTCTTCAATAAAGTTTCTTCACTTCTTCAATAAAGCTTTTTCAATAATTGTTCTTATCTTCTATTATTTTTATCATGGTATTAGAGCAGTGAGAAAAGCGAAGTTTCGCTCTTGCCTTTGGCCAGCGACCAACGTCGTTGAGAAAAGCAAAGCTTCGCCCTTGTCTTTGGCCAGCGACCAACGCCGCTGTAGCCACATTCCTAAGAGGATCTACGACTAATCCTCATCTTC